GAACAATGGAGGAAGGAATGCCTGAGCCACGGAAGCCGGAGCCCCTCCCGCCAAGCCTGTTTTGTCCTGCAGGCAGGAAAGGCCCCACCTGAGCAGCAGCTGGTCTGACACCCCTGGGACATGGGTGGCCTGAGAGGAGTGTCAGACAAACCGGGTGGGCGATCGGGCTGCCACCTGTCACCTCTGAGCCCTTGGTAGTGGGTTTGAGGCCAGTGGCCCCTGAAGACAGGCCACACACACCCCTACCAGGGGTCTTTAGTGGAGGGGAGGGGCCGTCCTCTGCTGGACCTTCAGGCTGCGCTGGCCTCACCCCTGAGGCTCCTTCATGGGTGGAGGGGCAGGTCTGGGAATGGGAGGTCTTCCAGCCTCTAGACGTGGCAAACATCAGGTCACCCACCTTTCTGGCCATCAGTCTCAACTTCTGGAGGAGGCCTGGAGGGGGCTGGGCTGGGGGCTCTGGCAGAACCCAGTCTCTGGAGAATGGTGGCTGCCTCCCATCCCTGCTCCCGGCTATAGCCCCCACATACCTTCCTCCAGGTGCAGGACCACCAGCCGCCGCCCCCCGGACTCCCCTAGCCACGCCTGCAGCTGCTGTAGGTGGGGCAGGGCAGCCTGCCTACCGCTGGAGGGGCAGACCCCGAAGGTGGCCAGGTCGCGAGGGCCCCAGTGGGCATGCTGCACAGCCTCCAGGAAGGCCTGCTCGTAGCCACTCAAGGCCCCCACCACCCGCAGGAGAGCACTGCTCCCATTGCCACCCCCACCCAGGGTCACCAGGCACAGAGGATCCCCAGCGCTGCCTGGTGGCCGGATGCTGGGGGGTGGCCATTCCCAGTCTTGGTGGAAGATGAGCCCCCCGGTGTCTGTAGTTGGCTCCCCAGGCAAGGTAGGGGTGCTGGAGGTCTCTTCCCTGGGGGTCCCGGCCCTCAGCAGAGCCCCCAGCGCCGACAGCACCAGGGCCAGCCGAGAGAGGGGCGGGCCCTGCATTCTGGGTGCTTCCAGGGGCTGGGCTGCCCTGGCTTATATGGGCGAGCAGGGCTGTTTGTGCAGGAGGGCAGCCCCTATCTCTCGGGATGTGACCTTGGGGGCCAGCACCCGCTGGGAGCTTGGGCACGCCAGGCGGCCTTCTCAAAGCTCCTTCTGTTCTGACCTGGCTAGCTATCTCCTCCTGACCAGTGATAGGAAGTGTGGTCTGTGACCCACTTGTCAACGGCTGTCCTTGACAAGTTTTCCCCTTTGGAGACAGGAGTCTCTGGGACTGTGAGCAGGGAGTGAGTGGCCCAGATGGACCAGACTATCAACAGCTCCAGGTCAGGGGTGGGGGCGGAGAGGGCCAGCGCTCCTGCCCCAGACGGCCGCGCACCAGCCCGAGGAAAACACATCTCCCTTGCTCAGATTGTGGCCAGGCGCGCCTGGCGGGCCCCGCCCCCGCGTGCTGGCCCCCCCATGCGCCCCGAAGGGGAGCGAGCAGCTACTGCTTTCCTCTGAGGAGAGCCCCAGACGCGCTGCTGGCTCGCAGGCTGTCCCACCCAGGGGCCATCCACTTGTGTCCTGCTGGTGTCCTGACCCTGGGCCACCTCCGAAGGCGCTGGAGGGCACCTGTGTGTATTCACTCACTGCAAGCCATTGCCCCGGCCCGCCCACTGACACAGTAGAACACTCCAGGGTCGGCACGGACTCTTTAATGGGCTCTAGGGGCCCAGCCCTGTACAAAAACACCCAACTGCACTCCAGGGGGAAGCACAGGAAAACAAAAGCAGACTTGCTAGGACAGGGGCAGCTTTTCAGTTGGTTGGGGGAGGGGGAGGAATGTTCCCAGGCCCTTCGGAGGGCAGTGGGGGCCTCAGCATTGGGGGCATGGGAGTTGGGGGATGAACCCCAGGATTGGAGGGGTGAACTCCAGGAGGCTGGGGATGGACCCCAGGAGCCGGAGGATGGACCCCAGGAGCTGCTGGGTGGACCCCAGGAGGTGGGGGGTGGACTCCAGGAGGCTGGGGGTGGATCCCAGGGGCTGCTGGGTGGACCCCAGGAGCTGGTGGATGGACCCCCGGGGCCTGGGGGTGAACTGCAGGAGCTGGTGGATGGACCCCCGGGGCTGGGGGTGAACTGCGGGAGCTGGAGGGTGCACCCCTGGGGCCTGGGGGTGAACCCCAGCAGATGGGGGAGGATGGACCCCTGGTGCTGGAGGGTGGACCCCTGGTGCTGGAGGATGGACTCCCGGGGCTGGAGGGTGTACTCCAGGAGCAGGGGGTGAACCCCAGATGCTGGTGGGTGGACCACTGGTGCTGGTGGGTGGACCCCAGGAGCTGGGGGATGCACCCCAGATGTTGGAGGATGGACTACTGGTGCTGGGGGATGGACACCGGGAGCTGGTGGGGGCAGCTGGGGAGGGCCCGGGGGCCCTGAGGGTGCAGGCCCGCTGGGTGGCATGGGCGGCAGGGGTAGGCCTCCCGGCGGGGGTGGTGGCAAAGACTCGGGGAGTGGCGGCCGAGGAGGCAGGCCATTCATCAGTGGGGGTGGGGGCCGTTTCACCCCTGGAGGCCCGGCGGGGAGGCTCGGTGGGGCCGGCGGCTTCTCCATCTTAAAGTGGAACTGGAGGAAAAACTGGAAAAAAAGAAGGGGCTGAATGGGACCCCTTGGGGCCCTGGCTGTGAGAAGGTTCTGGAGTTGCCCAGACTTGGAGTGACTCACCTGTTTGGTTTCCCGGTTCCAGTGAGTCCAAAACTTGCCTTCAGCCTTGTCAATCTCCCTGCTCGGCACCTGTGTGGGGTGGGGGCGGGCAGAAGCAGGGCTTCAGGACCCTGAGGAGGCCCCCTGTGAGGGCAGGGTTGAGGTTTCAGGGTAACAGTCGCTGAGGCCGCTGCTTAGCAACCCGTGGGCCATCTTGCCCCGCCCAGCCCGGCTCCGGGCCTCTGCTTCTTGGCAGGCACCCAGCCTTCAACTCGTGCGCTGCGTTGTCCTTGGCCACCCCCTCAGCAGGCCAGGCCCGAGGGGACACCTCCAGCCTGGTCAGGAGGGGGCACCCCGAGTGGGCCCGAGGCCACCTGCCTGGATGGAGCAGACCCTCTGGCTGGCTCCCCACCTCACAAGATCCTGGACCCGCTACCTTGAAGGCGATGGTCTCGTAGGGCTCAGCAGCCATGAGCAGGTATTGCCAGCGCCGGTCCGGTGGCTCGATCCTCTGCTCGTAAGCAGACATGAAGCGGTGGCGCGGCATGATGCCCTCGGCGATCTCAGGGTAGTCGATCTGTGGGGACACGGGCGGGTGGCATCACTGCTTTCTGGGGCCCCTCCCCTCAGGACAGGGTCCCCGCGGCCTCAGCTCACCTGGAAGAGGAGGCTCTGCTGGCCCACCTCCGTGTCCCTCTGCTTGGTCACTGCAACAAGGGCAGGTCTCAGGACCAAGTCGGCTCATCTCCCCCGAAGACAAGGGACCCTGGTGCTGGCTGAACACCGCCCACAAACAGAAGCGCGTGCCCTGGGGGACGCTGCCTGGCTGGCGAACGCCCATGGCCCTCCCTCCACAGCTGGACAGGCACTGCCCACGGGTGGGGGCTGTGCCGCGGGGGCCCCCACCCCAGACCTGGGAGCACCGAGTGTGTGGGTTGAGGCTGCACCCCCGCTTCCGGGAGAGGGTGCCCCTCGCTTCAGAGCTCTGCAGCTCCTGGCTGCTCTTCACACAGCTCCTGGGCACACTGCACTCCCCGAGGCCCCAGTGTCCCCCCACGACACCCAGAAGAGGCAGGATGGCCTATCGTGGCCAAGAGGCCTTTGGTGGCCTCCTCGGGTGGATGCTGCCACCTTAGCCCTGGTTCACCAAGCAGGCCCACCCCAGGGCCTTTGCCAGCCACACACAGCATGTCTCCACTTTGGGAGGAACACCTGCCAGGCAGCCTGCCCTCCTTCCTCCCAGGAACACAGTCCCGGGCTCCAGTCAGGCCACCTTCCCAGCTTCCTGCTTCAGGTGACCCAGGCGCTGCTGCTGACACAGACCCTCACCCTAACATCCTCCTTCTTGTTGGGTTAGGAGGACCCAGTACTGGTTCCCAGGTCACAGGCAGGGCCATGCCAGGGCTCGCTGTCCCCTCCCACATGCTCACCCACCTTCACTAGGACCTCCCAAGACATCCCAACGGGTATGGAGAAGACACCTCGCTCCCCCCTGTCATGTGGGGAGGGTGATCCCTGGCTCCCAGGGGAGGAACCCTTCCGACAGGAAATGAACAGACTCCCCAGAAGGCGGTTGGAGGGGGCGTGGCTCAGGGCCAGGGCCGCCCTCACCTTTGTAGCCTGGGCGGCCGATCTTCACGAACTTCTTCACCTCCACCTTGACCTTCTCTGGCGCTGGCTGGGCAGGGGCCTCCTTGGCCTCCTTGGCCGCTCGCCGGGCCCTGTAGGCAGGACGGACACAGTGCTGTGGCCCCTCCACACGGGCCGCCAAGGCCACAGGCCCAGGTGCCAAGAGTGGCCTCCGCCTGACCTTGGAGCTGGTCTGGGAGTGAGCGGGGGCAGGGAATTAGGTGGGGTGATGGGGGTGGGGTTGGGAGGTACTCACAAGTTGGTCTGATGCTTCTTCCCCTGGGTGTGTGCCAGGTAACTCCCCTGCAACAGGAGAGGGACACACAGTTCAAGACACGGGTAGAGGTGCCTGGGGGCCCTGATGGTGGCCGAGTAAACGTGGTCTAGAGGGTCTGCACAGAGGGGAACGAGCACCCGTAAAGGCGGAGAAGATGAAGGTCCCAGATGTCTGCGACATGGGAAGTCTCGCCGAGACTGCAGGTGCAGGTGTGGGCCCAGCTGGACTGTGGGCGCCGCCGGGCACCTGGCAGTGAGTCCACCTCCGTGATGCCCCAGAGAGGGGATGCGCACACCAGCAGTTCTCAACTAGGGTTCTTCTGGCCCCCCAGGGAAACCGTGCCCAGGGTGGCCCCCCAGAGGACGGCCAGCCCAGTGCTGCAGGGCAGACCCACACACGCAAGACTGTTTAACTCAGTGCTGCAGCCTGCAGCTGAGAGCTGGACACAAACCAAGTCCTCACCAGCATGGTAGAGGACAGAGGAGACCAAATCTTAACTGAGGTAAGGAGCCCAGCGTGAGCGTGAGCGGTCATCAGACCACCCTGGGTGCTCAGAATGCTGACTAGGGCCAGAGCCACACCATGCAGGACAGAGGCTGGGGACAGCGGGGCTTGGCCTCTATCTGGAGTGACAGTGTTTCTCCTAGAAAGACATGTTTGAGCCGGGCCCCGCTGTGTCAGTGGCCACTTTCAGGCCGCCCGCGCCTCACTGAGTAGTGACCCACATCTCAGGAGTGACAAGGCCGGCGGGGCAGAGCCAGGCAGTATGGGGAGGGGAGGGGACGGGCAGGGGGGGACAGGGGACGGGCGGACACACCTCATTGTTGTGCAGTGTCAGGCACAACTTGCATTCATACGAGCCCAGGTGGTTTTTCATGAAGTAAGGGTCCTGAAAGGAAAGTACATTCGTCAGACAAAGGGAGGTGGCCCTGCCATGCTGGGTCCGCAGCGCCAAGGCCTCTCTCTGTCCGAGACACATGGCTCACCCTCGGCTGGCACTGGGGGTCGTCCTCAAGGAGAGGGACAAGCAGGAGCCCTTAAGGCAGCACGTGGCCCCTGGGGTCCCGCAAACTCGGAGTCTACCCTGCCTGTCTGCACCCACAGCAAGCAAGCTCCAGGAGGGGGGTCCCCCAGGGAGCCCCTGGCCCCACACTCATGGCGACCTGGGGTCTAGAAGGAGGCAGAGCTGAAACAGCACCGTGGCTCATCACCTCCCCCCAGGACAGGCCAGCACTCCAAGTGCTGCAGCACAAGCCCGACATGGGCAGAGAGAAGCAACCAGGTCAAAGGCTGGAGGAGACCCGCGTCCCTGTGTGCCCTGTCAGTGGGGTCGGGATCCAGGGCTGACCAGTGACGCCCCTGAGAGGGGCAGCAGGGCAGGCACTTCTGACCCCAGGTGTGGAGCTGACACCAGGGGTTCAAGTCCTCATTCCCCAACCCAGTGGCTGTGCCATCTTTGCAATGAAAGTCCCACCCCACCTAACTCTGTTTCCTCATCTGGAAAATGGGGAGAGGGGATAGCTCAAGTGGTAGAGTGTGTGCTTAGCATGCCCGAGGTCCTGGGTTCAACCCCTAGTACCTCCTCTAGAAGAAAATAAATCTAATTACCTCCTCCGACCCCCACCATAATAAAATAATTAAATGATACAATAACAAATAAATAAAATATATAAAAAAGAAAAAAATAGAGTATCAGAACCAGCCTCACAGGCCAGGCCTGCAAGAGGCCTGGGGG